AATTAGTACTTGAAAAAATGAACTTTAATCTAAAATTTAGAAAATTAATCAAGAACCTATTTAACAATCAGGAGGCATATATTTTTGAATCAGGTCTACTTTCAGAACCATTTAGAGTTAAAAGAGGAGTCAGACAAGAGGATCCTCTTTCCCCTTTACTATATATTTTAGCTTTTGAACCAATGTTACAAGCAATTGACAAAAATATATAGGGCATTCCCTCTCAAAGTTTGGCCTTCAAATCAGTCACATATGCTGATGATCTAACTATAGGTGTGGGAAGTCTATCAGACTGGATAGAAATACAAAACTTATTCAACTTATATGAAAAAGCCTCAAATGCAAAAATAAATAAGCAAAAAACAAAAGTAATTCCACTAACAACCATAGCAAAAAGGGCAAACCTCCCAGACATAGACAATTATAAAATTATTGAAGAACATGATGCCTTCACACTACTGGGATATGAAATATACCCAAACGAGCAACCTAAAAAAGACCTATAGCTATCCACAATTACAAAACTCAAAAACTCACTAGACAACCTTGCCTCAAGAAACCTCTTCTTTAAAGGAAGAATTCTAATCACAAACTCATTAATACTTTCTCAAATTTGGTACACGGCCTATATCCTCCCCCGAACAAAAAACAGATCTCAGAAATAAACTCTCTAATAACACACTGGTTCCCAGATACGCAACTTTCCAACTCTCATATGAACAAAGAGGTCTCCAAGCTCCAATTATAGGAAATATGCTGGAAGCCAAAATGCTATTAGTATTAACCAAACTTCTTTCAGAAAACACACTATAGGCAAAAATAGAATGGAAAAGATTATTAGAAACATTACAATCTAAAAGAAATACCACAATATTACAAGCCTTAACAATGCACCCAATTAGAACCAAGGCCTGGCCCACAGAATAGAAACTATATATAATGGTATGGAAAAAGGCAAAAGGCACAATATCCTCTAACACAACTTGGCCTTGGCATCTAAAAGAAATTTCACTAGGAGGGAAAAAAGATGATGAATTTTGCATCAAAAATATAGTAAACTTCTTAAGAGAATCCACATATTTATCCTCTTCTACTTATATTTTGGCCAATAGCACACCAACTGAATGGACTCTTTGTAAGGGGTAAACAACAAAAAAAAAGACATTCTGTGGTGACTTTTACACAAAGCCTTACTTCTAGGCTACAGACTACGATATATATCTCCACTTGAATCAGAGGACTGTCTCTGGTGCAAAAATGAGCTACAAACCCTAGAGCATTTTGCAGTAGAGTGCAGAGTTAGCAAAACTATTTGGAAGGAAGCCTACAAATTCCTCAAAATACAACCAATTCCAGAAATCTCAAGCACCATAGAAGACATTTTTACAAAATCTAACATTACACAAAAACGATATCATGCAACAGTGTAGTGGTTAAATATAATTACGATCTATAAAATTTGGTACCAATATACCAACACCAAGTGGAGAGAAAACAATAACCCATTAACCACCATGGTTACAATCATTAACAACAGAATTGCAAGAAAAATTAAGACATTAAATCTTAATTTTTCTACAAACTATATAAATAGAAAAATCTGTAAATATTTGTACTGTAAATAGTGTAATTATTAATTAGCTAAAATAAAAAGTGCGCCATATGTGCCCCAGATGCTATAACTTTTTAGCCTAGAAAATTAACAAAATTTTATCAAAATTAATCAAATAACTAGAAAACAGTTTCAAAAAACTGTTGTAAGTCTGGAGCGAATAAATTAGAAAAAAAAATATTTAAGCAAAAATTAAATAGATATATAACAAGGTCTTTTTATATTTATACAAAATCAACTTAGTATTTTTGGAATTTGATGGGTTTTTTTTTAAAAAAAAAAAGTTAAATAATATTTATAACAATTTTTAAATATTAACTTAATTAAACGCACTAAATTTTATAAATTTAATACAAATAAAGTAGAATCAGTGAATTGATCTGTCTAAAAAATCTTCATCTGGTCACCTGTTGGGTAGACAATTTGCTACCTGGGTCACCCAGGTTAATTAAGAAACAAGCTCAGATGATTATAGCTGTTCTTATAAATTTTGGAACACCTGGTAAAAAATTGACCAAATGATTATTTGGCCAGTCTATAAGTTTTGATTCGGCAGTGATAAATGATAAACTTTTGATTTGAACATTATTAGTAATATAGCAGCAATGATATATATTTTTTGTGAATATATTCTAAATAGTGGTACAATATCAATACATCCAAAATTAATATTTCAACAGATCTTAACAAGAAACAATATATTAGAGTGATCCATAATTAAAAATTTAAAATCAGAAAAATAGAACAGGAGTTATTCAGAAATAAAATAAGAAATCCTTTTTTTAATAATATATTGTTATTATTGATTAAATAATATTACATAATTAAATAGAGCCAGAGGATTTAAATGGGTATCCCCCATAGTTGGGTGCAGGTACGGTAGCTAGTGTAGAATCTAGAGCAGACTACTTAAATAGGCAACCAAAAGTTGCATGTATAGCTAGTTATACTCTTGTTAGTTAAATAATCAGAGAGCTTAAATAAGTAATCTCCTAGTTAGATTGTAGACATGGTGGCTAGTATAGAACCCAGATGGACTACTTAAATTAGGTACCAAAAGTACACATGTGGCTAGTTGTATCCTCATGAAATTGATGTAATATCGTAATTATCTGAATAAAGCTAAGTGTCGAGGGATCTAAGTAGTCACCTTAATATAAAAAAAAAATAAAAAAAATAAAAATAACATTACATAATTATTTTCAAATTATTAATACTTAATAAAATAATATACCTCCAAAACAAAAAAAAAACACTAAAGAAAAGAACTTGAAAAAAAATCATAGAACTTGATAGTTTTTTCACAAATAGTAAGATATCAATCTAATTCAAATTATTTGTAATAGTTCGAATAGTTCATCGATTTCTTTTTTGAAAATATTAATAATATTATTAAGAAGGTTTCCCAACCCTGGTTATTGAATCTATTATGCTGAAATAACAATCTTAATTAAATTGGCAAAAAATTATTTGGCCAGGTGTAGAATGAGGCACAGAGTTTTTGGGCATGCCTTTAAGCTAAAAAGTATATCCTTTTATTTGATATTTACAAAACAGATTAAATATAGTATAGTATGAGGTCTAGAAATCATGACTTGGGAACTGCTATGTCAACTTCTGTTGTCCCGATTAGGATGATCTCTTATCTAAAATGGAGTTGCCGAATATATCGAAAAAACAATTATAATGAAGGTAATAGATAAAGCCTTTAAAATCAATTTAATAGTTTTAAGAGATATAATAGTTTTATTTATTATAATTAGTTTAATCATTTTAATAGAGATAATGATTATAATAAGTACTAAGTAAAAAGTTCATTATAAATAAAAGTGTTATTGCCTCAAGAGAAATCAGTTCTCATTGTTGCTTTATTAAATAATTAAGTCCCTACATTATATATTATCTATAATAAAACACTAACACTATACCTAGTATAAACCCTATAAACTTCCTAAGAACTCATTGTTTATGCAAGTTTTAGTTACATGACTTACTATACTTAACTTGGCCAACTTCAAGTAACCGAAGTCTTAATTACCCACTAGCAAAATCTAACACGCCTCTTTCATAAGGTTACTTAATGCTGGTTATATGAGAATCTATATTGTGGAGCAATAGACTTGCCATTGTTTAGACATAACAATAGATAACCCCTTTGGTGAAATTTCTAGAAGCACCGGCAAAGTTAAACTTCACCACATCATATGATCATATAGAGTAGCTTGACTTATATTGATTTGCCAAATTTTCATTTCACTACTAACCCCGAATCGGTTACATGATAAAGTCAAGACATACAAAACCACTTCACGTGCTTACATGAAGTGGCAAAGTAAATTTGCTAGTGCTTCTGAAAATTTTGCCAAAGGAGTCACTTAGAAGAATAATGAACATCAAAAATCAAGATATTTTACGTGATGCACAAAGAAAATATAAAGCCAGAAATAATGAAACAGCTAAACAAAGAGCGACATGATTGGCTCGTGATCATGAAAGGAAATGTGTAAAAAGGGTAGCAGAAACCAGTGAAGAACAATTAGCATGTCTTGCTAGCAATCGGGAGAGTAAACAAAAAAGTCAAAAAAGAAAACCAGAAAATGAACAAATACAACAGAATAATAGCAATGAGCAAGCATGTAATCTAAATGTAATGAATATTGTTACTAAACAGACTAATAATAGTATTATTTTGGAGAGGCTTGACTAATCTTCATGTAATGTAACCATATATATGCAGAATTTAGATTTGCAAAGACTTGATCAAGGCCAAAGTAATGCTGATTTACTTAATTAGCTAGATCAAGATACTCTAGATCAATGCCAAAGTAATACTAATATACTTAATAAGCTAGATCAAAATACTCTTGATCAAGGCCAAAGTAATGCTGATTTACTTAATAAGCTGGATCAAGATACTCTTAATTAAGACCAAAGTAATGCTGATTTACTTCAAGATACTTTACACCGGTTTAGTGCTAAAATAGATCAGTTAAAGTACAATTTATGCCCTGTATATAATGAAAGCTTTTCATTAATTATGCTATTTAAAAGAGAATATAGACACTATTTCAAAGAAAAAACCATACCAAAAAAATTCTTATACGAAAATGAAATGGACCTAGGCATATTACCAAAAGAGTTACAAAAATTGAGGAAATGCTTATAGCACAAGTATGTCCTGTAATGTCTGTTTACAGACTTCATGGGGGGCAATTTGGGTACCATAGATATGTAATAAATTTCCCTTAAGACGTGTATAAGTTTACTACAAGACTTCCACAACACCCATTATCAATAGATGTATTAATTAAACATTGGTATTCTGCAAACTCAACAGGCTTCAGAGATTTCACTGTTTGTTGTAATAAAGTTGCACAAGCATTATATTGGTTGAAATTAAACAATTGGTATTATGCTAAAATTACTATTGACAGCGAAATACTTCAATCTTTACCAATTGATGATTCAATAGATGATTAGCTCTCTAATAAAATCTGCTCTCTAATAGCCAAATAGGTAGTGAAGAGCCAAATAATGAAAACATACATGAACAATCACACATACTTTTGTTTCATGTACCCCATCAACCCATAGCAAAGAGGTTTCTATTAATAATACCCTGAATCATATGCAAAGTAATGAGCATTCTATAACATGGCCAAAAATAGATAATAATCCAATTAATGAGTTCCAAACTTCAGGATATATTGTACATGCCTTCCCAACTCTTTATTCAACAGAGCACACTAATCTTCGAACAGAATGTATTAGAGATATTAATCTTGCAGAGTATTTTAAGCACCTACTTTTGTACAAAGATGGGAGATTCACACATCACTCACGATGGCGATATTTTGTATTAAATTCTCTAATGCGGTGGAGAGCACTACAAAAAGGGAGAGTTTGCATAGATCTTGACAATTTTGGATAGCACGGCGTAATGAACTATGTGATATAATTAAGCAAATAGGCACACGTGGGCTCATTTTTTTTTACATTTAGTGCTGCCGATATGCATTGGCCAGAACTCTACAAGCTTATGCCATCTAATAATAATCATATAGGATCTGAAACAGCTAATAATTATAAAAATGTAATTAGCAACCCTCATATTGTCACATGGTTCTTCAATAAATGGTTCACTGTTTTTTTTAATGAAGTGTTAAAAGAGAGATAGAACTTAGAAGACTGGTAATATAGGTACAAATGGCAATATTATGGTAGTGTCCATGTTTATAGTATTGGGAAAAAATAAGATACGTCTGAAATTGAGTGAGCCAAAATAAAAGATGATGAAAATGTGATGAAAAATATCATGCAATATCTTGACACTATAGTTACCATAATTAACTCTGGCCTTAATGCTCCTGTTTCTGATATTCATCCATGTCAAAAGCGTTATAAAGAGCTAAATAATAATTTACAAGACTATATAGAATTAATTAATAAATTACAGAGGCACACAAGATATAGTCCTTTGTACTGTCTTCGGGTTAATAAAACAGGCTAACAATTTTGCAGGTTCAGATTTCTGAAAGAGAATATAAATCATACAATTGTAAGAGATAATGGACATGGTAGGCCAGAACTTGTGACTGTAAGAAATGACTAATATATTAATCCACATAGTCGACTTCAGTTGCAGGAATGGTATGCAAATGTAGACCTAAAGCCTATTCTCACTACACATGTAGCTTTGCAGTATATTTCTAAATATGCAAGCAAAGCAGAACCACAATTAGAAGCTTTCTTAGAAATATTGAATCAAATTCTTTAAAAAGCAACCCCGAAGACCTAATTCTTATCTCAGTTCAGAAACTATTACTTCGTAGCGTTGCAGAGTGTGACATATCTGCTCAAGAGACCTGCTATCTTCTACTCAAGATTCTCTTATATTATTCGAGTTACCTATTTGTTTCTTTAAACCTTAATATTAAAACATTATAGTGGCTTAGTGGTATTGGTACTAGTGAGAACATGCAATACAATAGAGATAGTAATATTGGGCAAACAGTAAAATCATCATTACAACATTATTGGGAATGATCTAGTAAATTTGAAGATTTCACATTATTTCGGTTTAACTTAAGCTATAAATTTAGCAGAAATAAATAGACTCAATGTCAACAAGAAAATATAGTATGTATCTTTCCAAGACCGTTGCCTCTATATAATAGTCCACAATAGGAGGATTTCTGTCAAGTTAAAGTTCTTCTCCACATATGATATAAAAGTCTTGAGGAGCTTACTGAAAATAACACAATTGGTTGATTGACTTTATATAATCAGCATCATGAAAAATTAATACCAATCTAGCTGACTTACTTGAATTTCCTATAAGTAATAAAGAAGGTGAGTTAATAAACAAAGATGATGAGGAAGGAGAAGATATTGAAAATGATAGTGATGATGAATTTAAGTTTGATTAGATACTATTATCAGAGATGGGACCAAATACAAGTATATATAGTTCATATGATCTGGAAATTCATAACATTGATCAAAATTATAGATGGGTTGATGAAGCTAAACAGCGCTATTTGAATACAAATCTTATAAATATCAATATGTTTATAAATTAGGTGTCTAAAAATCATCAAATAGAAGATGCAAATTTAGATCAAATAAATTATCAAACTTTGAATGAAAAACAAATGAAAGTATTCAATAGAATAAAATCACATTATTGTAGTATGCTTTTAGGTCATCAAATTAAGCCACTAAGAATAATCATAATAGGAACAGTGGAAACAAATAAATCATACCTAATAAAAGCTATTCAAAATCAACTCTGCCAGGCGGGAGTAACCGGGGCTAAACTTCCAGTAATAGTGCTCACACCAACGGGTATTGTAGCCTTCAACATTAATAGACTAATGATTTACTCAGCACTTTCAATTACTGTAAATGAAAACAATAATCAAAATTTAGTTGAGAAATGATTAAAACAACTGCAAGAGAGGTTAGAAGGCATAATCTATATAATTATAGATAAGAAAAGTATGGTCAGGCGCCAAACACGCGCTTTAATTGACATGCATTTACGTCAAGCTTTTCCAGAACATAAAGATGAGCCCTTTGGTGGCCGATCTGTCATTATAGTCAGTAATTTTAGTCAACTTCCACCTGTACTTAATCTTCTAATGTACACTAACATTATACAAGATTCATTATTGAATAACAGCTATGCTGTTTACAAGCAGTTTCGGGAGATATACAAGCTTGATATTATTTAAAGACAATCTGATAATTCAAAAAAACAATGAGAATTTAAAGATATTCTTTTAAGGCTATATGATAGAGAATCTACATTAAATGACTGGAAGATACTTACCACATAACTCGAAAAAAAGTTAATAGGAATAGAATACAATTTTCAGATGCTATATTCGTAATATTGAAATAGTCTGATGTAAACATTATAAATATAGATAAACTCAGATCTTTAAAAGCCCCTGTCGCAAAAATTCTCACCATACATACTAGTAGTTTAGAAGCTAAAAAGCAGATTCTGATACAGCACATGGTCTTAAAGCCCAATTATTATTAGCATAAGGTGCCCAGGTTATGCTAATAGCTAATATATAGACAGAAGCAGGACTTGTTAATGGTGCAATAGGAACTGTCTAGAATATTTTGTTTAGAGATCAAGGACCACTTGCCCTCCTTATAACAGTATTTGTTACCTTTGATTTTTACAAAGATCCCACAATTACCAACTTAGAAGGTATAAGAGTTGTCTCTGTTTTGCCCATTCGACACACTTGGGAAGGCAAAACTAGAATTACTTGCTCATGTCTTCAGATTTCACTTTATTTAGCCTGGGCAATTACTGTATATAAAAGCCAAGGTTTTATATTGCCAAAAGCTTTTATAGATCTTGGCAGTAAAGAATTTATAGCAGGTCTTTTATTTGTAGCAATATTTTGGGTTCGAGCACTTAACGATCTTTTTATGAGACCATTCAATTTTGAAAAACTCCAGCAGATCAAAGAGTGTAAAAGATTGCGAGAAAGGAAAGTTAAAGAAAAATGTCTAATTTTTATGATTCCTAAAAATTAAAAATACATATACTTTTTAGTAAATGTTAAAAAGTAAAAAGTTTTATAGAAAGTATGTCTGATAACTTTTCAATTAAAATAATTAAAGGATAATTTGAAGTAGATAAAACAAGGAAGTACAAATATTACATAGCGATAATTGAATTTTTTGTTTGTTTGTTTTTAGCAGAACAGATCTAATACTGTAATACATAGCATGCGTGCAGACAAACATCCTTTTTCAGAATTATATTCTTGATTTTGTTCACAGTAATGCATTAACTTCATAACTTTTGATATACTAAGAAACAGTTTTAAGAAACTGTTATAAGTTCAGAGCGAATAAACTAGAAAACAGTTTTAAGAAACTGTTGTAAGTCCAAAGCAAATAAATTATCGAATATAGTTATGCATCAAAAATGTAACTTTGTCACGTGTGTAGACAGACATCCATATGCATCAAAAACGCAATTTTTGATATACTTTACTCGTTCATTAAATGTCCTTTGCTATGCTTCGGACAATTATTGACTAGGAAACAGTTTTAAGAAACTGTTGTAAATCCAGAGCAAATAAACTAGGAAATAGTTTTAAGAAACTGTTATAAGTCCAGAGCGAATAAATTATCAAATATAGTTATACATCAAAAATGTAACTTTTGTCATGCATGCGGACAGATATCTATATGTATCAAAAATGCAATTTTTGATATACTTTACTCATCCATTAAATGTCTTTTGCTACGCTCCAGACAAAAAGTAACTAGGAAATAGTTTTAAGAAACTGTTGTAAGTTTAAAGTGAATAAATTATCGAATATAGTTATGTATCAAGAATATAATTTTTATTACATATGCGGACAGACATCCATATGTATCAAAAACGCA